CCCCCAGCCCTGCCGGTGCCCCTCACTCCCAACCCGCAGCCCCATAACCCCCCAGCCCCATAACCCCCCAGCTCCTGCCGGTGCCGCTCACTCCCGACCCGCAGCCCCTGCTAGACTGGCCCTCGCGCGCGACCCCCCCCCCACGCCCTGCCGGTGCCCTCACTCCTGACCCGCAGCCCCTGCCCTCTGGCCCCCCTGACCCCTCCTCTCCCCACAGCTGAGGCGGCAGCTGGAGCTGAAGGAGCGGACCCGGCAGCCGGTGCTGGAGCACAAGGCCAATCACGGAGGCGACTGCTGCCCGGGGGTGACGGGGGGCCCGGGGGCCCCCGAGGACAGCGGGGGGGACAGCAAGGACGTGAGCGAGGCCACGGAGAGCACAGACGTGAAGGACAGTTCCGAGGCCTCCGACTCGGCCTCCTAGGGCCCCGCCGTGGGGCACTGGGGTAGCCAGCCCAATAAAGGTCACCGCTGAGCCGTGGGGTGTGTGTGGTCTCTGCCCTCCCACCGGGGGGCGGCGCCTGGCATGGAACCGCCCCGGGGGCCCGGACAATGGGGCAGCCCCCTGGGTGTCATGTGCCCCCTGGGACCTGCCCTTGCACCCTGCACTGGACCCAAGGGAGCCCCGGCCCCCCCCCTTCCTCGCTCCAGAGGGTCTCTGCTGGTGGGGTGAAGACGGGGTGTGGGGGGGTCTGGACGCAGCCTGGCCCCTTCTAAGGCCCCCGGCCCCCCACGGGCTGCCCCCACCCGGCTTCCTGAGGAGGGTTTGTTAGTCACTTGCTGCTGTTGCCCCCCCCCCCCGCCAAGGGTGGGATGGGGGGTGTCATAGTGTGAAAAGAATGACCAGCCCCCCCCCCCGCCCCCCCCCGTTAACCATGTTCCACATGTGGGAAACTGAGGCATGCGGTGTATTCATACCTATTACACGAGCTTCCCCTTCCATCGTGGGGGGCACCCCGAGCCCCTCCTCCAGTCTCCCTGCTGTCCCCCAATCCCAGGGCCCCCTGGAGATCCCTCTGCTGCCCCCCCTGCTCCAGCGGGGTGAGCCCTGCTCTCCACTGGGGGGGCAGCCTTCTCGCCATCATCCTTCCCCCCCTCCCCCCCCCATGGGGCTCTGCTGTACTCTAGGGGGCCCCATGGGCTGGGGGGGCGCCTGCCCGCTGATTGGATCCCCTCTTCCAGCTGTTCCCCTCCCGCCCCCCCGCACCTCGGAATGGGGGGAGCTACGTTCCACTAGCCCCGCCCTCGGGGCCCAGCTGATCGCTCACGTTCCACTAGCCCCGCCCACGCGTGGTGTGCGTGTCTCCGCGTTCCATTGGCGGGCGCTGATTGGCCGCTGCGCGCCCCGCCCCTCCCGCTCGTGCAGAAAGGGGCGGGGCCCCGCAGGAGGCTGGAGGCGGCGGCGATGGGCGAGTCGCGGATCCTGTCCCGGGCCGAGGCGCTGCAGCTCGGGCCCGGCTGGAGACACGCGTGTCACGCCCTGATCTGCGCGCCCTGCCCCGGCCGGCTCTTCGGGCGCGTCCCGCTGCGCCACGCCGTGCTGGTGGGGGGCCCAGGGGCTGGGGGGCTGAGTTAGGGGGTTCTGGGGGACTTGGGGGGGTGAGTTCGGGAGTTCTGGGGGGCCCTGGGAGCTGGGGGTCCCAGGGTTGAGTTAGGGGAGCCCTAGGGGCTGGGGGGCTGAGTTAGGGGGATCTGGGGAGTTTTGGGGGGCTGAGTTAGGGAGTTCTGGGGACTCCAGGGGGCTGAGTTCTGGGGGCAGCTGGGAGTCTGAGTTAGGGGGTTCCAGTGGGCCCTGGGGGGTTGAGTTAGGGGAGCCCTAGGGGCTGGGGGGCTGAGTTAGGGGGATGTGGGGGTGTCCCCCTGGGGAGCTGCCTGGGGTGGGGATGAGATGCTCACATGGAGGTCCCTGTGGGGGGCTGTTGTGAGGGGATCCCCTGGGGGGCTCTGCGGGGCAGAGAGCCCTGGGAGGGGGCTGGGGGTGAACCTGCAGGAAGGGGGGGGACTGTCCCAGAGCCCCCCGCTAACCCTGCCCCCTCCCCCGCAGATGCAGATGCGCTTTGACGGGCGGCTGGGGTTCCCGGGGGGGTTCGTGGACCCCCAGGACGGCTCCCTGGAGGCCGGGCTGAACCGGGAGCTGCGGGAGGAGCTGGGGCCCGGGGCGGCCCCCCTGAGCCTGGCCGAGGGCGACCATCTCGGGGCGCGCTGCGCGGAGACGCCCCAGCGCCTGGTGGCTCATTTCTACGCCAAGCGGATCAGCCTGGAGCAGCTCCAGGCCCTGGAGGACGGAGCCACGAAAGCCAAAGACCACGGGCTGGAGGTGGGGGGCGGGGGCGAGCAGTGTGGGGCAGGAGGTGCTGGGGGGCAGGGAGCTGAGTGGGGGGCAGTGTGGGGCTGGCTGGGAGCTGGGTGGGGTGGGGCTGGGAGGGAGGCAGTGTGGGGCTGGGTGGGGGGCGCTGGGGGC